TCAACCGGCTATAGAGCTGATCAAATATCATGTCATAAATATATTATTAGATTAATACAGGTAAAACTCAAATAGATTTAACATTTTTATCTGCTGCTCAATAAGCTCTGATTTTAAGTTTACAGTTCAAAAAATGTTAAAATAGAAACCTAGTAATAAATTATTATTAGATAAAGATTGCTTAGAGCACAACCATTTTGCTTCTCCTAGACTGACAAAAAGTACAGTATATTGTATAACACATCTTGAAAGGCAGGAGAGAAGACATTCCTACCTCTTCCCTATAACACACTGCCACAATGAACACCTCTCCACAGGTAGCATTTTTTTGTCTTGAATTTTATTTTGTTGAACATTTCCCCAGTAGTCAACTTTTTTTACCCTATAAAGGTTTTCACCCCAAGAAAATCTGGTATTTTCTCCAAGGGTAGCTTAGCAGGAAGGTAAATTTGGGGTGCACCAGTAGCAGGAGTGGAGGCAGCAGGTGCCATATCCAGCCTGGAAGCAAATGTTTACATTTGTGAGCTGAGCTCTGCTCCTCTTAAAGCAAAGGGAAGTCAGGTGAAAGATGGCTGTAGCCTCAGGACCTCAGGGAAGTTTCCCACATTATCAGCAGACTTTTCCATATCTCCCTAGGAGAACTTGGAAAAAAAAGGTCAATTGGCAATTTTTCAGCCTGGTTTTTTCCCCTCCCCCAAGACAATGGCAAAGTCCCCTTGAGACTCCTCAGACCCGAAGTGAAAGCCACCAAGGCAGACCATCTGCATGCACGTGGTCGCAGGTCTGCCAGGGAACCCTGTGCAGCGGCACCAGATGCCATAAGGAAATCGTGGCCATCGCTTTCTAGGCAGACATCAGAGAAGCACGAGGTTACTCCTGCTGCTGTTCTACCTTCACCACTGACAGCAGCCAAGAATCAAACTAAATGCAGGAGAGAACCACACCAAGGGCAACTCCCTGGGGCAGAAAAGTGTCCCTCAGGTCATATGTCCCGTTTAAATATCACAGCAATATCTCAAACTGAGATAATTATTGCTAATTACAAGATCATTTTTATGTAAACATGAAGGATATTACCATGCATACTTCATCTCTTTTTAATTAAAAGAAATAAGAGGTTCACTGAGATAAAAAAAAGACATGCTGACAGCTCCCACCCAAAAGCAGACTTTTCTGCAATGATAACACCCATCAGCCTCCAGACCCACCAAGGAGACTGAACAAGGAAATCAATCAGTATCAGACTCCCCAGTGCTGAAATGAAGCAGTTGGCACAATATTAATCACACAGGGAAAACATTTGACAAGGAGAAGGAAAGGACCAGACACACAGACGGAGGACACACATGGATTCAAAGTCATGGCTGTCTTACAAATACTTGCAGAAATCACACAAATCACCAGCTGCAAAATAAAATACTCTGAAGAAGAAACACATTACCAGTTCTGACTCCAGCAACTCTTTAGTTGAGCCCACACCAAACCTCATGTGCTTTCCTCCATTCAAAACCAGTTCCTGCTCCAAGCTGCACAACCTACCCACACCAACCAGATTGGAGTACATCGTGACACAGCCTCACCAGGACTCTGTACCCCTTCTGCATCTCAAAGACTGGGGTAAAAAGAAACACGTCACAGGCGAAAAGAGACATGACCATCCAACTTAGGACACTGAAATAGTCAACGGCTTGACTTGTCATGCAATGGCTTAACAAGCCATTCCTGATGCACGGTCCTCCTGTTTCCAGCTGTCCTAAACATTTCTCCAACCACTCCAGAGTTCGCCAGTCCACCCTGATTTCTCATTGTCTCTTTTGTCTCCAGACACGCTCCACTGCTTAAGGCAATTTAAAACACATCCCCAAGCGGGATCCATGCGGGCCAAGCAAGCTCTCAGATGCCCCTTCACTTGGGTTGAAGGCGTTGCACCCCCGGACCCCAGGACACCCCGGCACGGCAGGCAGCCAGCCTCGGAACGCCGCAGAGCCCCGGCAGAGAGCGTCCCTAGGAGGAAGGGAGTGTCACCAGCTCCGCAGAGCCGCATGCTCACTGAACGGGGACCTCGCTCACTTCATCACAGATGCACATATATACCTGCGCGCCCCCTCCGCGCCTCGCCCCTGGCCTGCCGACGCCTGGCACTGCCGAGAACCTGGTCTCTCCTGGGGGGTACCGCAGCCCAGCAGGCACCTACTTGAGCAAAGAGCGGGGAGTCACATCACAGGAGCAGCGTGGTGGATTCATGGGGCTGAGGGAAGGTGGGTGCGGGGGGCTGCAAACTAGGGGTGAGAGAAAGAGCAGGTGTAGAGGGTTGCAGCTAATGGATGTGGAGGGGAGCCGGAGGGCAAGGGGGGGAAAGGGAAGGGGGTAGCATCTTGGGAGGGGGAACAACAATGAACAAACAACAGGAGGCAGGAGGAGTGCAAAGGGGGTGAAGAGGCTGTGGGTCGGTGGCAGCCCATCACCCTCCTACCTCGGCGGCCTGGCGGGGCTGGGGCAGGCAGCACCCAAGCAGCAGAGTCATGGCGCGGCCAGGAGAGCAGGTGGGTCCCCGCCACCGCCTACCGGGCTAAGGATCGCTCCCTCCTCACAGCTGCCCCGGGGCACGGCGGAGGGCACCCCCAGCACGGTGGGGGTACAAACTTCCCAGGGTGGGGGAGAACAGCCCCGCTAACAGGTGGCGGCGGCGCTGCCGCCCCGTCCCCGCCGCGCCGGTGGGCGCTGCCCCTCCGCGACGGCGCGTCCCACCCACCCCGAGGCAGCCCCAGCCCCAGCCCGGCGGTCACTCACCGGCTCGTCCGCCCCGCCGGGCGGGATGCGCGTCCTGGAGAGCGGGGCGCGGAAGTTTAAAGCCGGGTAACAGTATTATTTGCCTTTTTTTTTTTTTCCCTTCCAACGGAGGAAAAACCAAACTAGACGAGGCGCCCCCCCCCCCCCCCCCCCCCCAGGCGGGCGAATCCCCGCTCCGCTCCTCCCCGCCGGGGGCTTTCAGCCGCGCGTCGGCCCGGCGGTGAGGGGAAGTTTCCACCGCGGTGGTGGAGGCGCCCCCGGCGTGCCGCGCCCGCCCCGCATTGGCACGGGGCGCCGGGGCGCTGTGCCGCCGCCGCCGCCGCCCGGACAATGTGCGTGCGGGGGGAGCGGGAGGGGAGCGGAGCGGGAGCGCGCCCCGCCGGCGGCCGCGGCACACGCCCAGCCCGCGCCCCGCCCGCCCGCCGCTCGGCGCCCGCCCGCCGCCCCGGATTGGCGGCCCCCGCCGCCTCCGCCCTCCGGGTGGGCCGCGCTGCCTGTCAATCACCCGCCGCCACCGCCCGCCGCGGCCCGGCCGCGGGGCGGTCCCTGGGGCGGTGGCGGTGGCGAAGGGGGAGGTGGCGCTGCCGCCGCTTCGTTCTGGCGGATGACCCGCGGGCGGTGACCCCCCGCCGCCCCCCGGCCCCGGGAGCCGCCGGGACCGCGGCGTCCGCCCCGCGGGGTCGCGTCTGCGCCTCACGGCCCCGGCGGCCCCTCCTCGGGCGCTCTCCGCAGCCCAGGTCAGGGGAAGGCCTGGCGGCCGCCCGCGCCCCACGGGGCTGCCCGGGGCTGCGCTGCCTTTGTCGGCGCCCCGCGGGGGCGTTCCGGGGAGGAAGACCAGAGACCTCTGAAAGGTTGATTGCCAGGCACGGCCCCCGGCTGAATCCCCGCTGGGCTAAACTCAGCTCACGGGGTGCTACTGGCTGGCCCCTGGAAATGCCTAGAAAAATAGGTGGCTCAGAATTATTCCAGAGCAATTTGGAGAGGCCACAATAGAAAATACACCTGAATTGGCTCTCTGTAAGACAGCTGGGGTCCAGTTAGGCTTAGCAGAAGAGATATGCACTGCCTGAGCGGAATTACTGCAGTTACAGACCAAGGTCCAAGCGTGGCAGAAGGCTCGTGTCTGATCCTGTTTGGGTCCCATAAGAAGCACCGCTGAATCAGAGCTAGTAAATCTTGATGGACTCAAGCTTCATGCCATGAATTCAGGTCTGTCAATGCAGTGCTTCCTGTCATGGTACACCAGACATTTTCTACTACGAGGCAGTGTGATTTCCCTATTACTTTGGAAACTGGATAGTAGATTGCATAGTCACCTTGTTATCCAGCAGCATGCAGAAGTGATCAAGCTTAGATGCAGAATGTGATGCCAAACAAAGTATGCAGTACTGGAAAAGTGCTGTTCTCACTGACATAATGTTTCAAGCACATTTCAACAATTTATTGTTTCCATTAGAAAAGTATCTAGTAATCTGAAAATGGATCTAAAAACCATTGTTCTAGATATTACATTTGACACATAAATAAAAAGAAAGCACATGCCCTGCAGAGCTTGTAGAGAGAGCAGATTAAACGTGTTGTAGGGATACCTGTTGAGAGGGTTGTGCAGGTTTTCTCAGGTCTCATAAACGTGTTGCACCAGCACAAACAAACCTCCCGAAGCACTTTCTAAAAGCCAGCACACAAACAGACAGGTCCAAACAAAAACACTGAAGCTTTAACCTACCTTTAAACTCTTTCCCTGCTTCTAACAAGCCCTGCTTCTGGACGACCTTTCGGTTCTCCACAGAGGTGAGGACCACAGCTCACAGAAACACAGCATCTCTCCTGACCAAGGCAAGGGCAGAAGCAGCAGCACACACAAAGGTGATGGGTTTCCTCACAGGCAGACACATGCACGCAGGGTGCACCGCCTCTCCGTGCTACCTGTCTCGTCTTGTTTTAGCCGTTTCTAACGAGCAGGCAGGGTACTGGAGCATGCACAAATCTTGCTTTTTGAAGCACCCTGAAAGCAGGCTCATATTTTTCAGTAGCTGGGTGGCCCAGAAGAACTTTTCAGGGAGCAAGAACCAAACAGATAGTAAAATAGGCACATTTGTGGGTGAACCTCAGTTTCATGCTTCTTAGGCTTCTTGGTGACCTACAAGAACCAAGAAACACCAGAAGATGGAACTGAAACTGCTTCTTACTTGCTCATTCTTCACTGCCAGATCACATCAGGATATAAGATACCTGAGGACTACTTGTTTGCAGACTGCTGGAAGCAGAGACATAATCACCTATTGGTGAGTCATAACCACACAGTCGCATAGGGGTGATGATGCAAACTTGCAAAGGCACAGAGAGTGATATTAGCTTAAATGTGTCTTCTCCCCCTTTCTATTTTTTATAAAAAAGCAAACTATTGGGACAAGATCCTCAGTTGTGGCAAAGCAATGTAAATACATTGCTTTTGTCAGAGCACAGATTTACATTTGTTGAGGTTATAGCCCATTCTGCATGTAAAATATTGTTCTGTCTGAGCAGATTCTTCCTTCCTTTCTCTGAACTTGAGTTTAATTCTTGAAAAATGTCTGGCCCATCTGAAACCTCTGGAAGACAGAACCCTCTTTTTTTAAACATGCGATGTGCAGTGCCACAGCAACAGCAGTGCAAATGCCACGGCAAGAAGGCAGCTCAGCCTACCAACACTACTCTGCTAACTCAGCCTGCGTTGTGACTTCAGTGGATTGGCAGCAAACTCCTCCAGCTGCTCCACCAGGCAGCAGTGTTCTATGGCGAACCTCAAGGCAGGCAAAGAGAAATGTGCAGCTCTCTAGAAATTCTACAGTACTTCTTAACTGTTGTAAGCCTTGCTTGACAGGAGAGGAAGGCTAATCAAATACTGGGTCTGCTGGCACGGGGGGGCATTAAAAAGGAAAGAGAGAGTATCTTAGAAGGTCCTCACTGCCACAGTGAACCTGCAAAAACCAGATCTGCAGTGGGGTTGAAAAGCTGTTCCATCATTCCTATGCCTTCAGTTTTTCCTGATTGTCTTCCCCAAACTGCATGTAGCTTGGCAGGTGGGAGGCCAGAACTCATGGACATGCTTATCCTGTCATGACTCCTTGTACCAACACTCTAAATTCAGTCTGTGAAGTACATCACTGATCTTTGTAGGTGCTGTGACCCAAAAAATAACTCCTTAAGCAATGGAACATCCCCTCTTTAACTTCTGCAAGAGGGGAATCACAGACAAAACATAAGGTTGGGAGTCCACTCTGTGACATAGACTTATGCCAAAAGCTTAGTGAGCAGCTGAACTTGCTTATCAGCTACAGATCATTTTTGAAATTATGGTCTTTTTTGGGGTGATTTCTGGTAGAAACACTCAGACAATGGCCATCTTGAACTATTCTTTCTTTTTCCGTACAAAAAAACCCTCAAAAGAACATGAAAAGTTCTTCTTGTGATCATCAAAATCATCAGCAAAATAAGTAACAGTACTTTTCTAGCTTCACAATACTTGAATGCATCCAGATATGCATCATATATTTTTGATATACTGACGGGTATATCAGTTCTCAGCAGACACAGAGGGTAGATTAGTGGTGTCAGTTGCTTTTGTTGTTCTGAATCTCCTGTTGCTTCCCATATTTACCAGTTCCTCTGACTTTTAATCATGCAGATGCTTTCTGGTCCTTTTTTTGAACTCTCCCTAGTCCATTTTCCTGGATGCACAATTTTTCTGTGTAACTGAAACTTTCGTGGAAAGTGTTTGCAGGGAAGACTCTATCATAGTGCTCTCTTTAACAGTGTCTCTGAGAGTGTACTGAGGAGTTTTGCTTCCCCATTGTACCATTTTCTTCATGAGTTTTTAGTTTAGTCCTTCTGCACATACACTAGACCCAAGAAATCTTCAAGTCCTTTTCTCATGCTGGGATGTTTTCCTTGTATATCTCTCCCTGAGCTTAGAGCATGAGTAGTGTTAGGGCAGGAAGCAAACCGATATGCAAACAACTTTTAAAATTTGTATTTTTCTAGGGAACTCAAATTGTTTTCTTCTGATATCTGACAGAGTAACACAAGCGATTTGCCATGGCAAGCAGCTTATGAAACAGAAAAAAAAAATTATCATCACAAGGTGCTTTGTTGCTATAACAAGGAAAGAAGCTGAGACCTTATCCATTTTGTTCACTGCATCATCTAGGTAGCAGAATCTGTCAGTAGAAGTTTGTGTTAGATTCTGTGCAAGTGAGCTGTCTCGTGGGCCTATCTGATACTTGGATCAAAACTGAAGTGCAGTCAAAAGGAAAGAAGGAAGTGTTCAGAAGAATTGAAACAAGTCTGGATTCTCAGAAACACAAAGCCAAGTCCATTTCCGCAGCAAGGTGACGCAACTCTGAAGATGCCGGGAAGGGATGAACCAATTCTGAAATTAATTTGGCTTGCATTCTCTGACAATCTCCACTCTTCCCCCCCCTTCCCCCTTTATTTTTTTTTAAAGTGAAATAAATCTCCACGGATCTGTATATTGGAGTTACCTGGGACAGAGGATGGAACAGGCTTGCAAAGTCTGTCTTCAAATCCATGCCCTTTACAGGTCTGCTCCTGGGAGGGGCAGTCTCACTGCTACACATTTTACTTGGGTTAGTGAGTGAGTTTAGAAATGGCAAAAGGAATCAGCTAAGGGCAGAGAGGGGAAACATTCATATTACCACTGTGGGAGAAAATCAAACCTGAGCTTTGTTAGCTCAGAGGAGGACAATTTTAAAAACTCTTGTATGTGCCAATAGTCACAGAATCCAATAGAACTAGTGCTGGATTCCTGTGTGGAAGATAGACTCATCTGTAGATCTGGAGTGGGTCTTGGATATACAGAGAATGTTTGCCTTGATTCTGAGCTAGAAAGGACGTCTTCTGTGGGATAGTCTTGAAAAGTGGAGGAAAAACTGAAAGTTTCTCAATCCCCGGACTACTGATATGAACCACAAGTAACACAGCTCCGACTGTGTGATGGAATGAAGCGTATGCTCCCCGTTCTATTTTAAAAACACTCTCTCCCAGTTAAATTTTATGCTGTTGATTTAGTATAGGGCTTGAGAAACACTGGCCAGCCTTCTGAGCTGCCTGGGGGCTTAGCTGAATTCACACGTAAAATTATCGTGAGTCATGGACAATCCTCTTGTAGCTTCCTGGTGAGGTTGTAGAGAAAATACTGCTAGATTACAAGCCCCAACAATAGCATGACTTGGAAAGAAGCCTTTGAGAGAAACTCTTAATGTATCAGATAAATGGATATGTGGACATGCAAAGCTAGAGCTCGATCCTGACAATGAATTCTTATACTGTGAGTGACTGACTATAAAAAGACTATGGGGAAAATCTGAGTCTTCTGCAGCACAAAGAAACCATGAGATAAATGAAAGTCATCTCGAAGAAACCATGCTAAACTGTTCAACACCATAATTTAACACAGTCTCCTAGAGACTGGGGAGTCTGCAGGCTAATCCTTACTGCAGATTGCACCACGAGAGGCATAGCCAGAAGAGCTATAACAAGTGTGAAATTCTGCAAGTGTGTACCATCATCCCAAGGGCCTGGGACCCTTGGAGGTGCCTAAGACTTAGAAGCAGCAGTCCAACTGAGAGACCACACAGAGGGAAAAAAAGACCAGTTAGTCCTGGTTTCAAGGGTTTTTTAAGACAAACACTGAACTGGAGAAATCTGCTGGAGTAATCAATTAACAAAACACCAAATTAATTAATCAATCCTCAATCAATCAACAAAATCTTCCTCTATATCATCTCCAAAAACACCCCATTGCTTCAGATGACCCAAGCAGTGAGTGGGACCACTTTGGTTTTAATTGCCAAAATAATGGCATAAATATTGGATTAAATTCTACTAATTAAGAGTGCTCAGGCTTCTTCCAACCAAACCATTTGAAATGTTGCAGAAGATTCTGGGTGGATAGGGCAAAATCATCAGTTCTGTAGGGCTATCTGAGCTGGGACAGGATCTTTCTTATGGATTTCCCTTTTGAAATAAGCAAGGCAAGATCTTGCCAGGTACCTGGCCTAAGCACCACCAAAGCTAGAGAGAGGAAAGATTCCTGTGGACTGAAATGACTTCTACTAACAATTTGATCAATTATGAACTGAGAATAGAAACTTGCAGAGGGGAGATGCTCTGTAATTGCAGAAGTGAAAGGCTTTGTAATGAAAGTGGAAGGAGGTCTGTGTTCCATCGTTTAAGAATACAGACAGCTACTGATTCCTTTTTTTCCATAAAACCCCACAACCCAAATACACACAGAAAAAGACGTAGTTCAAAGGCTGGTCATTTCCCAGTCAGCCTTCTTGTAGAGATACCATAGGAATGAACAACAGTGGCTTTTCCCTAGCCTTGATATGCAATAGTCAGTAACAGGGCCCTCACCTGAGTGGGATGTTTGGACTTCAGAGTCTGCTCTGGGGGTGGTCAGGTGGGAGAGATGAGATACAGGTTTAATCTCTGAGACTGTATTTACAAGCAATGTCCCTTTCTACTACTGCCTGCTGGTTTCACTCTTACCTGAAGTGCACTGCCCTCTGCAGTGTCCCATTTGCTCCTGCGGGTGTTTGCGTAAGCCCCCAACAAATGTTCTTTATGATTTTTTGTGCTTTTTCCAGGGAGTTTTAGCTGATCATGTGGTGAGTCTGGAGCCTGAGACACTTAGAAATGGCACTGATTCTTTCATGAAGTGCCCTCACCTGACCAAGAGTTGCCAGGGTTGATGAGGTCCCGTGTCTCCTTCCACTCTCTGCTGAGCCTGCCATGGTAAATCATCAAGGGCCATGTAGGGTAGGAGGCCTGGTAATGCAGAAATCTGTATGTTGGGAACCACACTGATTTTCCTGGCAATGGTTTGCTGGCATATGTAAAGGAGCTTTTGTTAGCTGTCAGCTTGAATGGAACGTCATTCATTCCCTTGGAGCATGATCTTCAGATCACTACACTCTGAGAGAGGGATGTTGCCTTTGTCTTCATACAGCAGTACCTCAGATATTTGGAAGTTGAAAGCCATATTTTTTGTTAGGAAGCCCTTGCGATGTTTAATCCCCATTTGATTTTCTTTTTCAAACTCTGCAGAAAAGTTTGAACACTTTGCAACTTATATGCCATCAATTTTTTTATGGGACAGTTGGGATCACTTACCATGTTCTCGGTCATCTGTCACTTTTGCTGGCAGGAGCCAGATTTCCAGAGTGGAAATGGGATGAGTTGCTAAGGGATGTCTTGCGCCCTGTGTCATTTCTGCGTTCACTGATGCGCAACAGATTTATCTTGTAGTTCAAGGCCTCTCTGTACCAGATGACTTTGTACTGAAATCTCAGACTACCCCACATGTTCTCCTGGAGAAGACACTAAGATTATTCATATTATTTTTTAAATAGTCTTCTTATTTCTTCATGAGCTAATGCTGATTTTTTTCCCCTCAGCATCAAAGAAAAATTGCTAACTACATCTGTTTCTTGCAGAAATTTCAAAGCAGTGTTGCTCAGCATGATTCAGGCATGCACACATGGTAGAACCAGATAGAATTAAAGACATTTGTCTTTATCCAGTTAAACTACTGGTTCCTTTTCCTTTGATTGCTTTTTAATGTACTGGCTGCACATTGTCTCTGCTGTACAGCCCTCCTTCTCATCATCAAACTCATGCTGCTGAGCTTTTTCTTCTCGTCTATCAAGTCTTTCCCTAAATTCTGATTTTTCTTCTGTGAGGAGCTGCCCTGCACCTTGGTTGCTACCTCTGTGAGCAAGAAAAGCTGATACAAAGCAGTACTCACATAGAGTATAGCTACCTAGTTGACTGGAGAGGAGGATGGAATCCAGCATTCCCAGCATCTCTCTGCTTCTTGGTGCTCTCGACACTCCAGTGTACATTCTATTCCTGTATACCTTAGTAAAGCCAGCTTATTACAGACAGCTGTTTTCCTCTGTGGCAGCCTCTTCCTGATGCTCTTGGGGAGTGTTTTCAGCTCCTCCTTCATACCCTTCTGTGATTACCTCAGATATTCACTGCTGCAGTCACAAAGTCCGTTGGTGACCTCAGCCTTCGTGTTATTTGTAGCAAAGGAAGACTCTCCTTCAGTACAGCTGCTTGTTGTCAGAGCTAGAGATCCTGATTTACACAGCTCCCTGTGATCTTATGATGGTTGTGGTATTCCCACATCAAGTGAGATTCAGGCAAGATATTGGAAGGTCTCCTTAGCAGTAAGGCTATGCTCTTGTGTCACCATCCAATCTGGGCTCTCCCGAGAGACCCCCAGTGAAGGTGAGAGCAAAGTCCTCCCACACAAATGCCCTCAAGAGCAGCACAGGGTTAGAAATTGTTCCTTCAATCAGTGAGGTGGCATAGTTGATGTCTTCAGGGTATTTCTACACCAATTTCACACAGATTCTCTTTTTGCTAGCAGCTACTCCCTTCCTTCTTTCCTTCTTAAAGTACTTTCTCACAATGAAGGCACAGCTTTTTTTTTTTTTTTTTTTCCTGCAGTTTGGTCATCTCCTTTCTTCTGGTGCTTCTCCATCAGGGAAGGTGAAAGGCAGAAGAGAACCTTCAGTCACTTGCATCCTGAAGGACTGGTGCGGGCCATTGCATGTTTCTAGGTAACTTTTCAGGTGTTCAGGAGCTGAGCAGTGATGTGAATGTCTACGTGTGCGTGTGCACGTGTGTGTTCAAATCACTCAGATACTCTCTGAGGGCTTTCAGAAGTCAGACCTCCTGCAAGACTCTTAAGCTGAGATGCCCAAAGCAACATGTTGCAAATTTCTTCCCCTGGCTTCAGACTTATGACTTTGCCTTTTCCACTTCCAGTCAGCAAACTTCAGTTGGGGAAATACTGAGGCTAACGTACCAAAACACTGATCCTAAATGTTACACGAATCCAAGTGATTGATGGAATTTCAGCCATTGACTGTAAAAACATGAGTAAGCTTATGTTAATCTACAGATGTTGTATTAGCACTCAGCGATTTCCCAGTCCTCATTAGCAATGCGCTTTGATAGGGATAGAAGGTGTTAGCTCTAGTTTCCCTTCAGTAAGCTGTTTAATCATTGGAGCTTACTGGCAGTGGGATTTGGGGGACTTAAGTGATCACAAAGTGAATTAAGAGTAAAACAATACCCTCTCTCTAGCTTCTCTGGGATAGTGCACTGGGGAGGGAATGGGTTCAGAGCTGCTCTGTTCCCCCGTTTAAGGGGCACTGGTGTGCTCCAGTGAGGACTAAGCAAGAAGCTACTGCCTCCTTAGTCAAGATCTTCCTGGTTTTCAGGAGCACACTTAGACCAGCACTCCTGCAGAGATCAGCACATGCCGGTGGACTTGTTATAGCATGTTTAGCCACATGTTCTTGTTGGCTTACTAAGGTCTGATCCAAAGCATACTGCAGATACAGTGAAGATTCATGTACTTCTTCAGTGGCCTCTGGGCTACTCTGGGAGGCAAAAATACAACTGTGATAGATACATGGGTGAGTGAACTCTACATTACCATCACATTTCACTCTGAAGAGATGGCAAAAGAGGTTCTGCAGCCCAACCTTGTGCGTCCCAGAGCTGTAAAAGCAACATGAATCCTACTTATTAAGTAATTTGAAAGCACTTTCTGGTTTGTGAATCATCTGCATCCCAGCCTTTCTGAGGCTCTTGGGTAATGAGACGAGAACAGTGCAGCTTCTGTAGTCATTTCTACCTGCTCACAGGGCTGCCAGCCTGCTCTGGACCTAATTTTAAGCTGTTATTTTAAAAATCTCTCTGCCGCTAAGCAGTTCTCATATAGAGATCTCAGACATGAAGTAATCCTCCCAGCTTTTCTAGAAAAAAGCTAACTACCATTAAACCTGTTTTACAGGTGGGTAGGCTGTGCTTTAGTCTGCCTGAGATCACAAAACGTTATTTAGGGCCAAACTGCCTGGGCTGACACATTCCTGCAGCAGGGATGACTGCCCAAGAGGGATACTAACCTCCTTCATTAGAAGAAAAGAGTGCCCAGGCAGAGGGAGGGCTGGCTGCACAGCCTCTGTTTATGTACATGCTTTGCACATGACTGTGAAGCAAATAAACCTCACTGTCCATGTGGCTTGAGTCCAGGTGTCCCCTGGATGGAGCCGCAAGCGTAGGGTAAACTGAAACTCTGCACTCGGTTCTTTGTGCTGAGCCATCCGGCAGGTGGGAATGTAAAGCTCCACCTGATTGCTTATGCCTGAGTCACCTCCTTTAGCATTTGTTATTGCCTAGTATGTTAGCATGCTGCCTGCTGGATAATAAATGACTTCATTCGCTGCAGTAGTGAGGACATGATTAAAAATTAACCTTGGGAAATGGTCCTGCATATTTTTTTTTTTCAGTCAGAGCCAGACAAGGGGGAATAGGAGAGGAATGCTATTGAAATCTGATTTGCAGAAAATGTGAGTGGTGCGCTTTTGGTAATGGGAATAGTTCAGGCTTTAGTTTAATCACCGCAGTTGTTGGCAATCGGTGATCAAAATTCAGAGGGTTTAAGGCACTTGGTAAAGGTAAAAGCAGTGCAAGTCGTAAAGACGCAGGCATATTGCAGAGGAGGTCAAAGGATGGGATTAATGGGGATTACTATGTATATATCTGTTTGCAGAAAAAAGTTAATTTATCACATAGATGTTATTACCATATGTAAGGAATGGAATGAGATCTGTAGAGAAAAACTCTTCAGTTTTGGTTTATGTATTGCGCCCTTTTCTCAGTATCACACTTAAAATCCTCACCCTATCTATAGCAGCATGCAGAGTTTATTTCCAGAAGTGAAGGGTTTGCATGAAATATCTGAGGAAATAGAGCAACTGACAGACAGATATTTCATTTTCTTGGCTTCTCTTGCCTCCAGCACCCACACAGTATCCATCAAATTGTCTCAAGTCAAACCCTCACAGGCTGCATTTGAAGCTTGGGCAAGGAGCCAGGGAGGCTTAGAGAGCAAAGACCTTTCTGTCCGCACGCACTTACCCCTGTCTGTTTGCTGCAGTCCAGAGCAGGGGAGCTCAGCTTTAGGCTCAACAAAAAATACCTCCTTACTCCCTTTGCATTGTTCCAAGAAAGGGATTTGGTCTGAAGCCTGCAGACTCTCATATTAATGCTCCCGTTGTTGACACAAAAATTGCACCTTGTTCTGAGACATCATTCAGCTGGCTTTGGTACAGCAGCAAGCGGCACGTCCCATCCCGAGCCCACAGTTCCTGAGGGCTGCTCCCTTGGGCTGCTCCATTCGTTAGACAGTCTGGATGGTAACATAAGCTGTAATGCCAGGTGCAGTGACTGTGCAGGCAGATTTGCTCTCTGGCTGGCATGCTTTTTTCCAGAAGCATATCACAGCCGTTGATTTCAGAAGCCATACTGTCATATGACAGCACCTATCAAAGAGCCGAGCTGAGGTCAGCATGTTTGTACTGAGTCACCTGCCCATCTCCATGTGGCAGAGGTATTTTAAAATGCCAGGCTTAAGCAGATATTATGCTGCAGCAGAGAAGATGATATAAAGTTCCTTCATAAACAGTGTTACAAATTTGCTGGATGAAAGGTACTCAGGTACTGCCGTGTCAAAGATGGAGACATTTCCTACTCTAAGATCTTTCCTTACCCATGACATTTCAGGGACCATGGCTGAAATATTCCTCAGTCTAATTCCTGCTTTTAATTTATGTTCTCTCCTTTCTCTGTCCAGACAGAGCGTTTTCATTAGCCCTGGTATCTGGCTATCTTGATCAGCTATCAGAGCCCCCAAGTCTCCTGTCCTTTCTGCTTCCTGGTCCTGTCCGTTGAATTGATGGGGAGTGTGCCTTCAGTAGAATCAGCCCTGGTTCCCATGTATCTGGGACTGGGCCATGCACCATGCCACACAGCAGGAAGGCTTCCAGACTTATCAGCGGGGTAGGGTAGTCACAGGGACCTGTGTTCCTCAACAGTTGTTTGTCTAACATCTTGGTTAAAAGTGGGCATATCAGAAAGTTGTGCTTAGAGTGCTAGGATACTCTCTGAACATATTTCCTAGATAGCTGCTGTATAAACAATGAGGAAGCAATTCAAGCGTGCAATCACAAACAAGAAGGTACGTGGTATGGTAGTGGTGTGGGAACTGCCCTTGCTGGGATGTTGACTGTGGAACAAACAGGGTTTTTACTCTGTGTTTCAAGATCCTGTACTCACTGCACGCAGCCAAGCATGCTGCTGGAACAAGGATTTTATTTTTATGGTCACTGAGCAGGAGTTATCACAATGGTGGTTGTCAACACAACACTTTTTCATAAGCATGGTCTTTGTTGAGGTTTTGGAAAGCCCAATAGCTTAGAGTTAGTGTGGCACCTCTTTGTAGGCTAGGTGGTGGATGTGGTTTGAAATCGCTTCCTTGAACTTAAATAGGTTGGAGATCACACCCATGGTTTGGTTATTTATTTATTTATTTATTTATTTCCCTACCTGCCCACCTGCATGCAAATCTCTGTATTTCACTCTCCACATTGCTAAGAGCTGTGTGTCTTGCTCCAGTGTTGTGAGGCAAGTATGTCAAAGAAGAAAGAAGGTGACCTATGAAAACAGCTGTCGGCAGCTGCTTGCTGCTCAGTTCTCTAGAAGAGGAAGTTGTGAACTACGCATGGAAAATCTGCCTTCCACAAAACAGGAGTTATCCAGTAAACAGTGAATATACAGTTGAGTACTAGACACTTGTGTTTCCACTGACTTCTAAGGAGAGTAAGAGGGAAATGTATTTTTAACACCAGCTTAACTTGTAACCTGATCTGTTACTGCAGGGAGTAATCAACTGATAACTTACACAGCTGCCTGTGTTTGGTACACAAGATTACTGGGAATGGTCTTTAATGAATGTCCCTGTGTTAGTACATCCACAGCATGGCATAGGGAGTGATAAGTGCAGGACAGGACAGGGGAGGCCTGTGTGTATCCAAGGAAGACAGGTTCCGGCAGTGATGATGCGTCAGGAGTGGTTGGGGGGGACACACATTTTGTCACACTGCTTGGTAGTATTTTAGACACAGCTGTCTACATTGTCCTCTGCTACAAAATAGCAGGAGCCAAACACTGCGCAGCATTGAGTCAGTTTAATGCCAGTGCAATGGATGAACTTCTCATCCCACTGAAGCAATATTTTTTAATTGATCAAGCCTCTGCAACCCATCATATTAGAAAAGCCCAGGTGCAAATCCAGCACTGTTTTTGCCACCTTTATGTTTTTAAAAAGTTCAGATCGAAATTGAAACAGAGATTGTCAAAGATCCATTTCCATTGCTAACAATGGTGGGTGAGTCTGGGAATGAAAGGTCTTTGCTCAGACTATAGGAGGGTGGATGAAGGTGAGTCACAGTACTAAAGGAACATCATGATTCCTACAGATAACAGTAGTTTGTGGTCATAGGAGGATTCCCACTCTGAATTTCTGACTTCTGCTGAAGGGATTTGCTCAGCCAAGTGCACACAATGCAGGTCCACCACTAGGAGTTTCTGTTAAACCACTATAAGGGATTATCCCAGGGTCTCTTCTAAGATATTACAAGAACAGAGGATACTAGGGATGGAGTGCTTAGCTAAAGGTGCAAGCATACAGTGATATAGTTTGGGTTTT